CGGCCTCGCCGCAGGCTGATGCCGCACGGCCCACTGGCTATGCAAACAAGGCCTCCCTGCAAATGAATCTTGGAGGTTGTCAAGATTGACAGGATTGCCTGGAACAAGGGATCTTAGGGGGGTGACCCAAATCTTCCTTGTCTTAGTGCGCCCTCAACTTCATGTTGCAGAAGTCCAGTCCAGAGATGTCTCCAAAGCGCTGCTGTTGAGCAGGTCCTTGCAAACGGTAGCTAAGGGGCTTCCACAAGGCAACTGGACAAACTCAAGAACACCTAAGTCGGAAAGTGGTGGAAGAACTGGGGTGGAAGCCCCCGAAATATCTCTCGAGCCTAGCAGCGCCAGGCTTGATTCTCCGGAATCTGTCCTGAGTGAATGTTCTTTGCCGCTTTCATGCTCGTATGCAATCGTCAACATGGACTGCTAAATCTTGGGCTGTTTGGCGGCAAGCAGGGAGGCTGTCGGACAGCCAGAATTTGCCTCGGGAGGTCGGGGAGAAGTCTAGATGTGGGGTTCAGACTTTAGAGGCAGGGTAAGTGTGAATGACCTCTAGGAACCTCCTTTGGTCGGGGAAGTACTTTGTTCGGCAGCCGACAAAGACGGTGGCAGAAAGCCTGCTGACCGTCAAGACGGGAGGCTTTAGATGTGATGCGAATAGTTGCAAGTTTGCGAGTCCCCACCTATGCGGGCACTGAATCTGAGTCCTATGCTCTACATGGGGACGGCTCTGATCAAGGCAGCTTATGCCGCTGTTGTGCGCTCGGAAATCAGTTAACACTGCAACCTGGCGCCACGCTGCTCCTCGCAAAAGGATCCCTTTGCACTGCAGTCAGGAACCCCACAGGGTCAGTAAGAAGAGAAGACTTGTCATGACTTCTTTGCAGGTTCACACCCTGTGGCATGCCGGCAGGCCTGTTCAAACCGCCACAGGCAAGATTGCTTTGGGAGCTTGAGCTAAGTTGAGCTAGCACCTTGCCTCCAGACCGAACAGAGACTTCAAGCTCGAAGGGACTAGCACGTTGCAGGACCGGCTTCGCTCAACTGCGGACATCTGACGGTCATTGGACTTGCAAAACAGTGGGTGCATCGCCTCCATCGCTTGCACGGCAAAATCATTGAATTTCATGTTGGCGGGGCAAGAACTGCCCACTGCGCGCATGTCTGGTGCATCGTCAACCGGCTTAAGACGGCAGGTTAGCAGCAAGTATGTTCATGTGTGGCTTTGAGAGAGGAATCGCGTGGTACTCGTAGTGGTACTTGTAGCACTGTTCATGACGAGAGCTTGCGCCTCCATGTAGCCCTGGGTACCTGCTCCGCGGCCAAGGCATCTGGAAAAGCATGGCAGACTCTGTGAAATCCAAGTTTTTCGTGGGATGTAGGCATGGTCGCCCTGGAAGATGTTGGCCCAGCTGCTGATTTCGGATCTCTGAGCCTTGGCACAGCTTATGGGCTTGTTTTTATGTCAGCTGTTTTCAAGACATGTAGCAATGGCCAGGAGCGCCTTCCTTGGCGTGGGTGTGCCAGCCGACGGCGGGGTCCGCCTCAAGGCTGGCAAAGAGGGCCGAAACATGGAGCAGCAAAATTTGAGTGGAGATCGCACGAGGCACCAGTGCCTTTGGCAACCTCCGTGCCCACGGGGAGGTGCAATCACTTTTATTCAGCTGCAGTTGAGTTGGCCATGAATTGGTCAGCCTGCAGGGGTGGTAAGGATGGCGCTCTTAACAAGAAGGTTGCCTTCAGGCGGGACAGCTCGCTGGTCCTTGACTTGAGCAACAGTGTCGTGTTACCAACCCCCACCGCCGCCTTGTGCATCCATTGACAAGTTTGTTTTTTGTCAACATGAGTCTTTTTGCAGGATGCTGAAGCAGCTCGGCTGTGAAGTGCGGAGCGATGAACACGGCGAGGCAATTTTCAGTTGCATCATGCATCGGCTGCATAATCTTACACCGTTCCCTAGCAGGTCCATTATATCCAAGTGGGCAACAAGACCCAGCCTGTGCTTTTTAAGAGCCTTGGCAAAGTAGCGGCACATTTGCTCTCACATGCTTTTGCTTGCATTTCTGGAGGACACTTGGCAAAAAGAGTTTCGATAACAGTTGTTAGAGGCTCCTACGGGCCGTTAATGCGCAAAAAAAACAATTCCGCCTGAGCCCATCGGGAGTGGCCTGCGTGGCATGAACAGTGCTTTCGGACCTTCCAAGGCCTCAACATCACTGCTGCCATCACGCATGGCGTTTTTCGCTGAATATCCATGCGGCGACCACGACAACATCCACCCCCTCTGCGTATGGCCACCAGTGCATCCATGCCCAAACCATAATTCCGCGAGTGTTCCAAGGGCATGTGATCACCAGAGCATCGATGCCCAAACTATAAATAATTCCGATGAAACAATGTGCTGTGTGGTGTCCTTCCCCGCCTGCATGCGTGCAACCACAGCAAAAGCACAATTTTCGAGGTATTCTTCCAATTTGTCTCCTTGCCCGGAAACCTCTTTGAATCCTCCGAGTGCCGAATATGCCACACCTGCCAGAGATGTTGACATGCCCTCATATCAGCTGCGCCTTTCGGCACGCGTTTACGACCCGTAACTGTTGGTAAACTCCCACTTAGCAGCGCGTTAGAGTCTAGGATGCTTGTGGAACTGGGACATGCTCCTCGGCGTGGTGAGGACGGCGTGCACCCCAGGCGTTTGCAGCACTCCAAGCCTCAAAAAAATGGGAGAAAAGAAAGTAAGAGAAGCTTGCTGCGAATGAAAAAGGGTGTGCATGGGCTATTTGGGCCAAGGCGAGTTCATGATTCAGGTCGTCGAGCAACGTCCTCGGAAGACTGAGGCAGGCTGTGAGAATAACAACTGCATTGCAGCACTAGCGGGCAGCATGGCCAACAACAAGCGCGAAGGAGATAGTCACTGCCTTGTCGGCACCCCGAAAGCCGCGAGTCCGACAGGACGAGCGGGTACATGGGCAGACTTTTTTGCACCAGCAGCAGCTTTCCGGCGATTGCCGCAGGAGTCTGAGGATGAGGGCTATCCGTCGATCGGCCGACCCCGGCTGCGACCAGAGGCACTTCAGGGGCCCGCAGACATTGGTGTCAGAGTGGCAAGCATTCCGTGGCTTGTAGTTCAGCCTCGGACGGCCTATGCCTAGGCCCCCTGGGCCGCAAAAGTCAAGCAACTGCTTGGAAGGATGCCGAGCTGCTCGTCAGCCGCCTCTACAAGGTGCCAAGGCGGTTGGAACCCCGGAGTGGATGAGGTCTGGAGATCACAGAAGGGTAATTACTGGCTATCATGATTCCAATGATGAGGCCTCCAGCCGAGGTCACAAAGTCTGAGGCACTTGCCTCAGACAACGCGTGGCTTGCATGTGCAGATCTGCCCAGGCTCTGAACCATGACCAAAACTCGCACAAGCACTTATGTTATGTTAGTCTTCAGTAGCCATCTGGAAGAATTTGCCGTGAGGTTGCAAAGCCTCGCCGGACTGCGGCCGAGCAGCGGGCATACCTGGACCGCTTGGTGAAGCCCCGCGTTGAAGAGTTGGCCCCCGAGCTGGATGAAGCCATTTCGGAAGCGGGCAGGTGGGAGCTTGCTTGCCAGGGGGCTTGAAAAAAAATCGTCTCAAACGCCGCTTGGCTCGCAGGCGCCTCCTGAAGAACGGCATCACCTGGCCCAGCTTCTCCAGCCCTGAGAAAGATCGGAGCGTCCCGAAGAAGGAGAAGCGCACACGGCTGGCACAGGCTGGCTTCGCCATCTGCGAGAGAGGAAATCCCAGCGCTAGAAGCTCAACAAGCTCCAGGCCAACTTCCGGCGGTTCGAGCCCCAGCCAATGCGCACAGCCTCTGGAGGCCAAGGACGCTTCTCCCAGCACGCCTTCTCCCAGCATTCCGCACGATCCCGAGCGGGCAGAATTGCATGAGGACAAGTGCCTTTCTGGCAACAGCGAATTGCCTCTCACAGAGGAAGCACCCAGCTCACCACAGTTTCAGGAGCGTGTAGAGCCACCGGAGGTGCAAGAGCTTGAGCCTGAGGAGGTGTTGGAGGAGGAAGTAATGGAGGAGAGCACTGGCGCTTGGTTGGAGCGTTTGCTGGGCCCCGCGAAGTTCCCGGGCCGGAGCTTTGAGCGACGCTCTGGCAAAGAGCAGCGCGAGCGGCTTGAGGAGCTGGCAAAGCCGCGGCAGGTGAAGGAGCCTGAGCCGACGACTTTGCCTTCCAAGCCCAGATCTCCACGGTCACAGCAAGAAGCCTGCAAGAGGTTGGCCCAGCCACGAAAGCCCAAGACTCTAGAAGCGGCAGCGACAGAGACTGCAGAGGGCATGGCTGAGGGAGACACTGCGTTGCAAGAAGCGGATGAGGAGACGGATGGCGTCGAGTCTGCACCCGTGAAGATCATTCCATCCTTGCTAGCACAGTGCCCTCCACGTCTTGAACGGATCGACGAGGAGGCCAAGGAGGCCCGTTCTCAACCACGCCGGTCACCCCATCCGCACGGGCGCTCCGAGCGCTCGCGCTCCCAAGGTGCGCGGGGCCGCTGCGCTCCATATGCAGTGCCCGTCGTCCCAAGGCATTTGGTTGAGCCGGTTGAGCACCGCTCCAGGGAAGCGAAGGCCTGGAGACGCCCCGCCCACGGCACCCACGGCAAGGACCATGAGGACCTCACTCCGGAGGAGATTGCAAAGATTGCCAACCTCCTCGCCGGTGAAGTGGAAGTGGAGGAAAGCGAGGCCATGCTCCACAACATTGACGCCCTTTACAGCCAGCTCATGGGCCAGACAAACCTTTGCCCTGAAGCGGTGGACTCTGCGGATTCTGAGGATCTTGGAGCTGAGCCTGACTTGGCTGGGATGGTCCCTGAGCCCGAGCCATGTGAGCAACTAGCAGAGGACTTTGTGAAGGCCAGTTCTGGACCAGCGCAGGAATGCGACGGTGAGAACTTGCTGGCTGATATAGACCGGCTCTATTCCCAGATGCTTGATGGCAAGGGTTTGGAGCCAACTGCGCACACCTACGAGGTCACCATATCCCAGCCAGCCGCGCTCGAAGTGCGCCAACTGGCAGAAATGAGACCTGAGATGCTAGAGGCAGCACCTGAACCTGCAGAGCCGCTTTCAGAAGCTTCGATGGAGGATCTGCCAGGTTTGCTTGAGGAGGTGCTCTGGAGTGCCATCCTGCTGACGCGGGGTGCTGCAGGCCGCAAACTTGAGCCTGGCTGCGCTGAGGACGGGATCGCAGAAGCTGTGAGGATCTATGCTTTGCTGCCCTGCACTGCCCTGCAAGTGCCCTGCAGGAGTGTCTCTTGCGGCTGCTGCCGCCAAGCTGCCTGGCCCAGGCTTCCAATCGATGCTCCGCATGTCGTTTTCAAAGCGATTGTGCGTTTGTTGAAGGCTGCTTGCCTGGTGGCTCTCCCCAGCAGTCTGCTGCAGCGGCTTGCAACCGAGCTCCCTAAGGCTGGGGGACTCTTGTTTTTTCACATCTTCCCACTGCAAAGAGCAGCTGGAGCTGCAGGTGCATACGGCATTGGAGCTTTCCCCAGGTGCTGCGCGAATAGAGGCCATTGCATCTCAGTGCCGCCTCTTCACCAAGACATCGTTGTCCCACCAGGACAAGGCGTTGCTGCACTCGGTGCGCGAGGCACCAAAGCTTGAACTTCTGAAATCATTAACTGGAAGTTGAAGATTCGAAAGTCAGACTAACTATGTGAGAGTTGTCACTTCTACGTCCAAGGCGAGGGACCAGCTCCTCAGCTCCGCGGCCAGGGCAGAGGCCGCCTCAGAGGCCGCTGAGGGAAACGCTTCGCGTCCATCCTCCGGCGGGAGGCGTGGCATTTCACGGCCTCCTTCAACCCCACTTCGCCTCCTTAGCCCCGCCAGCATCCCCCAACCAAACCTGGTGTAGGTCTTCTGGCACATCGAAGAAGCGCTTGAAGTCAAAGCCTCGCAGGCCTCGGTCGAGCATCGAACCTCACAACGTGCTCGCAGCCGTTCGCAGTTCAACATGCCTTTAGGAGTAGCATGAGCTACTGGACGGACGAGTCCTTGGACGCTCTGGAGGCCAAAAGCCAACCACAAAACCGAGATGCCAAATTTGATGAAATGTGCAGTACCCAGGCACCCAAGCGAGGTGCCACTCACCGCTCAACGTGAGGCTCTGCCAAAGCCCCATGATGCTGTGTTTGCTGACTGGAGTCCATTGAGGCCGCCCTGGAAACGCCCGTCCCTGGAACGAAGGACTTAATGACCTGATATAATTACTACCAACCTCACTACTCGTGCAGACAGGACTGCTCCAATTCGGGGCGTGATGTCAGTGGTTGTCCTGCAGCCTTTTGAAGGCCTGAAACAAGAGGGTCAGCTGCGTCTCACCTCTCAAAACCAGCAGATCTTCGGTCGGCGCATTCGGTGGCCGGAGACCAAGATTCCACCAAGATAAGCGAGGGGTTTTCCTTATTTCAAGCACCAGCAACCACCTGTAAAAGCGGTTTCACCTATCGCCTGCTCTAAGCAGGGATGCATGGACATGCCCAAACAAGCATTGATAACAAAATTTGCGGAAGATGCCGAGGCGTGCTTTGCTCTCATTCCCGTCGCTAAGAAAGCAACAATGTCAAGCCCAGATTACGTGGCACGCGGTCCCTTTGTAAGCCATCCATCAAGGAAACATGTCACTCAAAACCCAAGTTTGCTTTGTGTAAGGCTATTAAGGTGTGGGTCGCGAGCGTCCCACATCCCGACAAGAGTTGCCATCAATCAACACCACAGCATCCACGACTGTAACTTTTGCTTCCTTTATTTGGGCATCGCCCGAAAACCCCATGTGGAAGTTTTTAAATAAAACGACCATGGCTGGCTCCAAAGACCTTGCGTGAAAGGTCGCGATGGTGCTCGCGAAAGGAACTTTGGATTTCGCGAGAGAGGTATCGTAAGCTATATTTCCTTTACTTACTTTCAAACACATTTCTCTTCTTGAAGTCCGAAGGCATGCTTCCAGGCATGCTCAAAGGTGAAAGGGTTGCAAGTCTTTCTGAGGCACAGGCTCAGCCTCATAATTCTTATCTGAAAATCCGCGAAAGATCCTCGAAAGGTCCGCGAAAGATCCGCGAAAGGTCGCGTAGGCCGAGCAAGCCCCCAGCATTGCAAGCCAGGGGAGACGACATAGCTACTGCAATTGGGTGTTGGAGTTTAGG